GTTTGATCTTATTAACAGCTGTCTCTAGCATCTATTGATAATCATATAATTTTTAATTTTACTGGTATTGACACTGAATGACTTGTGTATATTAAACCATCCCTGCGTTCTCCTGGAGATAAATTCCTCTTGGTTATGGTGTATGATCTTTTTTTATGTATTATTAGATTTGGTTCGCTAATACTTTAAGATATTTGCATCTATGTTCACCAGGAATATGTACCTATAGCTCTTTAGCTCTCTATCTCCTTTCAATATTGGGTAGTATTTTCCACATAGAAACTCTTTGGGAGAGTTCTTGTTTCTTGGGCTTTTCTGGAGAGTCTTAAAGGGATTGGAAGAACTTTCTAGTAAACTTATCTGATCTTGAGCTTTTGCTTCTTGAGAGACTTTTGATTACCATTTCAATTTTCTTGATAGTCATTGGTCTGTTCACATGCTATGCTTTATCTTGGTTCAGGACTGAAAGGTTATAAATACAAAAATTTATTCATTTATTTTAGCTTCTCTAATTTGTACAGTAATCCATGATGATATTTTGAATTATTGTAGTATCAACATGATATCTTCCCTTTGATTTTTTATTTGGTTTATTTCATTTTTTATTTGGTTTTCTCAATTTCTTTGTGAGTCTGGGTAATGGTTTGTCAATCTTGTTTATTCTTTCAGATAACCAGCTCTTGGGTTTCATTGATCTTTTGAACTGTTTTATTCAATTCTCCTTGCATTAATTTCTGCTCTTAGCTTTATTATTGTATCCTTTATGCTTGGTATGGGTTCCCGTTGTTGATCTTTTACTAGTTGATTAAACTGTGTATTAAGTTATTTACTTGGAGACTTTCTTGCTTCTTAATAAATGCTTACATTGCTATGAGTTTCCCCCGTAACCCTTTTGTTGTGTCCCATATGTTCTGGTAACATTTGTCCTAATTCTCATTTGTTTCCAGGAATGTCATTTCTTTTCAATTTTTTCTTTGATCCACTGTTATTGTTCAACTGTCAATTTACAAGTGTTTCAGTCTTTTCCAAGTTTTTGTTTTGATTAACTTCCAGTTTCAAAGCATTATGAGCTGAGAGAACGGATTTATTTATTTTTTTTTGGGGGGGGTCACACTCGACGATGCTCAAAGGTTATTTTTGGTTCTGTGTTCAGGAATTATTCCTGGCAATGCTCCAGGGACCGTATGGTATGCCTGGAATCGAACCTGGGTTGGTTACATTCAAGGCAAATGCCCAACCTGCTGTATTAATGCTCCAGCCCTGAGAATAGTTGATATGATTTTGTCTCCTTAATTTTATGAAGATATGTTCATTATGTGGTCTGTCTTGAAGAATGTCCCATGTACACAATAGAATGTGTACTTTTTTGGGGGGGCTAGAAGCCCCTATGTATGTCTGCTATGACCATTTCTTCCATTTTTTTCCTCTAGTGCCAGTGTTTCCTTACTGAGTATTTTGCTTAGTTAATCTTTCCAGAGATGAAATTGGGGTGTGAAATTTCCAAATACTATTGTGTTGTTGTCAATATCTTCCTTTAAGTCTGTTATTAGCTGTTGTTTCAGAAATTTTAACTATCCATGATTAGATAGATTTATATTTAGGAGTGTGAGTTCTTCTTGATATATACATTCAGAAAACTTAAAAAAAAAATAACAACTGAACAATTCCATCAAAACTGTCAAAGAACTAAACTTTTTCACCAAAGACATACAGATGACCAATAGGCATATGAAAAAGTCTCACCATCACTAAATAATAAAGAAATAATAAATAAATAAATAAATGCAAGCCAAAACAACAATAAGAAAGCAACTCAGATTAGCCAGGTGAGAATGGCCCGTATCAAAAGAACAGTCCGTGCCAGCAAGGATATAATGAAAAAGAACCCATATTAATCATCAATGGGAGAGTTATCTGACTAAGTCTCTACGGAAAATACTACGGAGACTGGTGCAGGTGCCCTCATGCTTGGCTATCTTTGCCGGGGCCTCTTGGAGGGGGGACAGGTTGAGCTTCCCTCCCCACCCCAAGCAGAGCCCCGGCAACCGAAGACCTTCAGAACCAGCCACAACCATGCTGAGACCACTCTTCACACGTATGAAAGTACCGGCAGAGGAACAAAGGCATGCGGGTCCCGGGACTGAGATCTCCAAGCCTGCTCAGATCGGGGCTGAGCATCTTCCACCCAGATCCTCCATCTTCTAGTAGGCAGGGGTCACACCCACCAACTGCCCCCCCGGCACCGTGTAATCAATCCCATCAACGGCCAAGACCCAGAGACTATAAAACCCAGCACCCGGAAGTGCCGCGCAGTATCTTATTATCTCATTCTTACTTTGGACAACCCAGCAGGCTACTGAATGTAACCTGCCCACATGGCAAAGTCTGGGAAACTCCCCATGGTGTACCCAATATGCCAAATACCAGTAACAATGATGAGTCTCATTCTCCTAACCCTGAAAGAGCCTTGAATATGGCACTTTTTAAAATCTCAGGGCTAGGGTGAAGGAGACGTTACTGGTGCCTGCTCGAGGCAATCAACGAATAACAGGATGATCGTGATCATGATATATTCATTGCAACTCAATTTACAATAGTCTAAATCTGAGAATAGCCAAATGACTAACAACAGATAAGTAAATATATAAATTTTTATATGGGAGTTAGAGAAATATACTGGGTTTGATTCATGGCATCCCACATATTTCCTTGAGCACCACATATAGTCACCCAAGCACTACTAAGAGTGTTCCCTGAGCATATAACCAGCAGTAAGTCTTCAGGATAGTTAGGTATAGCCTCCAAAGAAAAATGAAAACAAATGTGGTTTATACACAAAACAAAATACTTTTACACAATTATAAGGATAGTTGAAACTGTCTTTTGCTACAACTTGGATGGCACAATAGGGGGTCATGTTAAGCAAAGTAAATCAGATGGTAAAGGACACATGCCATATAATCTCACTCATATATAATACATAAAGAAACAAAGTAAAGGAATGGATAGTGTGTAATGATAACAGACACTTGGACTATAACAATAAAATTGAGGTTACCAAGGAACACAAGAAGGATGGAGAAGATGAGAAAGGACTTAGGGATAGTGAGGGATGGTTTTTGGCACTTTGGTGATGGTTGTATTGAATTAATATTGTATACCCAAAGCATAAACATTAAGATTAAACCATGTTACCTCAATAATAATATACATAAAAATTAAACATGAATTTACCATATGTCCCAGCACTTTCATTCCTCAGTATCTACTTAAAGAATCTAAAACATATGCCAACCCAAAAGCATGTAAGTGCATGTTTATAGTAGCATTATTTACAATAGAAAAAAAAGTTGAAAAATAAAAACAAATATCTCTCAAATGATGAATTAAAAAAATCTATCCATATAGCAGAATACTAGTAAGCAATAAAAGAAATGAACTATTTTCAATAATGTGATGTGGCTGAATCTCAAAAAAACATTATGCTTAATGAAAGAAACCAGATGTGGAAGAACAAATATGGTATGACTCCATTTATTTGAAGTGTATAGAAATACAACTATATATGACAGAAGGCAATTATTAAGTGATGATCTGATGAAAGATGTGGCAATAGGACTGACTGAAATAGGCACTGGAATATTTTAGGGTAATACAAATGTTCTAAAACTGAATTATACTGATAGTTGTACAATTTTGTTTTCTAAAATTGTTAATAGTTTAAATATAAAAATTACTAAAATACTGTGAACTTGAAATATGCAATTTTTATGATATATAAAACACCTCAATAATATTAATTTTTAAATTCCTCCTTTTCAAATACTATCTACTCCAGCCTTTCCCAATATGGATGACACTCTACCCCCTCACTCATAAGAACTAGAACCATCCAGAGGAACAGTGGCAGTATCCTGGATGTTGTGGGGGTGGAGTGAGGCCACTGAGCAATTTTATTTCTGAAAAGAGAGCAGTAGGCCAAAATAGTTTGGGAAACTATGAAATAGTAATTTCATTTGACTAGAAATCTTTACGTTTTTGTTTTTTCGGTGGGGAGTAAGGTAGGGTGGAGCCCACACCTGCCTGTGCTTAGGGCTTACTCCTGGTTCTATGCTCAAGGCTTACTTCTAGTAGATTTCAGGGACCAGGAAATCAAACCCAGGTAGGTCAAGTGAAAAGGAAGAACACTATCAGCTGTACTGCTCCTCCTGCCCCCAGTAACCTCATTAGAAAGTAGGAACATGCCAATGGTCTCAAGGACCCTGGCCCCTTAGATACAATTTCTAGCTTAGTACAAAGGGAAATCTCAGTAATCTAAGCTTCCAATTCAGCAGAAAGTAGGAAGAATGGAGTAAGAATGTGTATTCCTGGAATGGTATTTGCATGCCAATTCAGTGTGTGCACAGGTTACTAGAGGCAGCATTAGGATGTCTACGGTCACGGTCACGGTCCTCCCGTTGTTCATCAATTTGCTCGAGTGGGCCCAGTAACGTCTCCATTGTGAGACTTGTTGTTACTGTGTTTGGCATATTGAGATACTCTCGGTAGCTTGCCGGGCTCTCCGAGAGGGGTGGAGGAATCGAACCTGGCTCTGCCGAGCAGGCTGCATGCAAAGCAAACGCCCTACTTCAGAAACAACAGTTTAATACAGCACACTGCTCATATAGTATACTCTTGTGTTTTAAAGCACATCAGTTTATACTGTACTACAAACTTCTGTTAAGATCATTTGTGAATTTAAAATGGTAGCTAACCAAATCGTTCATGAAATCAGGTATATCTTCCCACTTCCACTATATGTTTAAATGAGTTATTCATAACACATTTCTGAAATTGTATAATCTAATTCCACCTTGACTAAGGATACGTATATAAGTAATATACACATATTATGCACTTACACATTTTAAGGAACAGAGGATATACATGTAGCTGAAAAGGCATCTATTGCTTTTGGTCACTGGGATTATATTTTTGTCTCTCTCATTACAAGTATGTACCTGGAATGTGAAGGTCCTCTCTCCTGGGAAGTTTGGGATGACAGACTTCCATCAAAGGAGTTCCCTCTGTGGCAGCCAGATATGGTGGCCTTGGGCGAGATGGAATGTGACTGGAATGTTTCACAAACAACCTGGAGTCCCTTTTGAAGGTAAAGATAGTAAATTAGTGCTTGCTTTTCATTTTTTTCCATCCAGGTATAAGGCCCTCCCGTTGATCATCGATTTGCTCGAGCGGGCCCAGTAACGTCTCCATTGGAGACTTTGTTGTTACTGTGTCTGGCATATCGAATACTCTCGGTAGCTTGCCGGGCTCTCCGAGAGGGGCAGAGGAATCGAACTCGGGTCGACCATGTTGGCCGCTTGTAAGGCGAACGCCCTACCCGCTGTGCTATCACTCCAGCATCCAGGTATATACTCTAGAATTAGCTATCATGATATATAACTTGTTCTTTATTTATATTATTACTATTATTATATTTAGGGAGGGGTCACACCACACAGTGCTCAAGGTTTACTCTTGACTATGCTCAGCAATCACTCCTGGCAGTGCTAAGGGGACCAAATATGGTGGTGGGGATTCAAACTGGAGTTTGACACATGCCTTTCCCCTGCACTCTCTCTACAATAAAAGCATTTTATTTTGAATTGAAGTATTGCAGTTCAGCTAATACATTTTCATAGATAAGGGACTTGGCCCTTAACATAAGAGGAAAATAAAATAAAATTCTAGAGAGTACTAAGCCATTCTAAGCATGAAGGTAAATACTTCCATATTCTTTTTGTCCTTGTTGCTTTTATTTTTTTCATCCCTATACCCAGTATCTATGGGAGAAGAGCTACAAACCATGAATCCTTCAAAGATGCACCAAAATGAAGAGGAGCTGGATAAATATATGAAGCTGCAAATAATTCCCAGCTTACTGAGAGCTAATTAAATATAAAGCTGAACATGAGATGAAAATGCAGATTTCAGCTTTTCCATCAGAGGAGAGATGTATTATAATTTTTTTCAATTGTATAAAATGACCTTGTTCTGATTCCTAAGTACAAATGTAATCTTTTAGAAAGTAACTCATTTTCATCACATCTAGTTGACAGATGTAATTTCACTGAGGTACTATGAGGTATTTTATTTTCCCGTAGGTAACGGATATAAAATTCTTCACTCTAGTATAAAGATCCTAAAGTCTATAACAGTATTTTGTCTATAGCAATTCAATGATCATATGTAATATAAAAGAATATTGTTCAAGCACAAGGCATGGAAAATCAAATACAGCTAGAAAGGTCATGAAAAAAGTTTTCTTCTGACCTGAAACAAGAATCCCTTAGTATGAGCACACTCATGTTCATAGGTGATAAAAATAATATCCAACAAACCTGAACTAAAAATTTAAGAGCTAACAGTTAAATTTAAACCAAGTGATTATAGATTAGAGTGGCAGACTTAAGAAAAATGTAGTCCAAGTTGTAATTATGAGCCATGAAGGTGATTTTTTTAAATGCTGAAAAGAAATAGCATTCATTTTACTAATATAGTCTATTTAACCCCAAGTTATTATTTCAATATGTACCAATATAAAAACCTCTGCCCCCAAAGCAGGCTCTCTCAGAGAGCCAGGCAAGCTACAGAGAGTATCCCGCCTGCACGGCAGAGCCTGGCAAGCTATCTCTGGCGTATTCAATGTGCCAAAAACAGTAACAATAATGGGTCTCATTCCCCTGACCCTGAAAAATCTTCCAATACAGCAGCATTGGGAAAGATGAGTAAGAAGAGGCTGCTAAAATCTCAGGGTTGGGACGAATGGACATGTTACTGGTGCCCGCTTGAGCAAATTGATGAACAACGGGACGACAGTGATACAGTGATAAAAACACAATGAAGTGTTTATATATTTCATACTAGCTTTAAAATATAGATGTATTTTATTTATTTAGTTTTATCTTGCCTCCCCAGAGACCACAGAGCTGGGTGTGGTCAGGTCACAGAGGCACAAGTGCAGCACCAGGCATTCAGCTCATACTACACACTTGCCTTGGGCTCTTCCTAATCCACTGAGCTATTTCATGGCCCTTTTGTCCTGTGCATACTTAGCCACAGAGCTGTCAGGATTGCCTTAATAGTTGCGGTGGTCCTAGCATGTAGATTCTCTGCCTTACATTTGCCAGGAAACCCTCAGTAGTATACATATTATATATTAGCTTTAGAAAACACCTCAATTTAGACTATCCAAATTTCAAATTATTTAATAGCTACATAGACACAGTGCTTACCATATCAATAAATGCAGATTTGGAGAAATTAGATGTAAACAGGAAGTCAAGATATTAGTTGGTTCTTAACGCAAGGAAAATTTAGGCAAAGTTCCCTAAAAAATTTCCTAAAGAGAACATTCCAAGGAGAAAAAATATCCTGAGCAAAGATTCAAAGGCTAAACAGTATACTTATGAATTATAAAAGCAGCAATTAAATTAGGGATAATCAAGGTCATTTAAGAAGAATGATGCCAGGTGGTAGAAGACCTGATGAAACTGAAAGGGGAATCTGACTTTGAGATACGGTCACAATCAGAGTCCATTAGAGGCTCCAAGGACTAAGACTTATCTTGTGCCTTGTACATAAGTTCAGTGGAATGATAAGGTAATGAATAAATGATACATTAGATAGATTAGTCAGGCATCATTAGGTGGTATTTATGAGAGGCAGAAGAGGTTAGAAGTAGAAAATTCAATTAGGCGGTTCAATCTACAGTCTAGTTACCAGGACCTGAGTTTAAAGGGCAGATGTGGTCATAGAAAACAAAGAGGACATCTGAGCAACAAATCGAAAATAAGACAATATGATTCAGAAGGAAATCAAACAAAAAATATTGAGATTTGAATTTTATTATATCTGAGATGTTACCAGTCAGCACATTGTTATTTTATATGTCCAATTCATAAGAAGAAAATCTTGTTAATTAAAATAGGAACCATTTTATCAGTGAGCACTTTTAATTTTGTACTTATTAAAAAGTCTATCTTTTACTAATTCAGACACACTATGAGTAACAAGAAAAATATAAGTGAAATATTCTAGTGAAAGTATTCCTAATATTTCTCACATTAAAAATTTCAACTTAGAGTTGTCATAGGAAGTTTTTCATAGAATAACTTCTCTTTATTTCATAAAGGAGTGCTTAATTATCTCTTGGCATATTTTCCTAAGCCATTGAGCCTTAATCTGCAAATTTAGGTGTTGGAAGTAACCGAATTTATGCTGCAACAAAAATGTCAACCATATCAAGTACTCTACCAGGCAGGGAGAGAATAAAAAGTCAATGATCACCAAACACACTGGATTTTTTAAATGGTGAAAGTGAAAATAAAAAGTATTTTAGAAAAGATAAATTTTGCAATAGATAAAAAAAGCATGTTAATCTGTGCATTAGTTAGCAAATTGTTCAACAGACAATAAATTTAACATAACTCCACATTTTTCCATTTTTAGGGAGAAAAAGATACTACTAGCAATAATGCATCAGTTAGCAAGAGGATTCAAATTTGATGGAAGATAGCATTCCATGTATTGCATGCATTTAATTGGAAGTGAAAGGAAATCATCTAATATGATTTTCAGTTAATGGCACTATACATTCCAACATGTCTTTGAACTATCCTGACCTTCATTTCTTACTTTTTTAACCAATAATGCATGGCAAACTTATGCTAAATTGTTTTATTAGGCCTTTCTCTTTTATGTGGATTAGTTTTCATTCTCATTACACTTTAGATTCCTTTAAGGTGGAGGACTGTAATTTATGCTCCCATTCTACTCCTTCCTCCATCCTCACTACCACTGTACCACTATACTAGCTGTATAAGGATAGCCTAATAAATTTAAGAGATTTAATAATTGACGGAGAGATAATAATTTATATGGGATAAACAATGTTGACTAACATTTGTTTTGTGTTACAAAGTATACACTAAAATAAAACAGTGATGTTATTGGACTGGAGAGATATTACATTAAGCAGAAAACCTACTCAATTTATTTGTCTTGCAGATTGAATACCTGGCACTGCTTATGATCCCCTGAGCACCTTCAAGAGTGATTCTTAAACATAGAAGCAAAAGTAAGACCTGAGAACCACCAAGTGTGGCCTCAAAACAAAACAAAACAAAAAAACAAGTAAAACATAGAACTTATTACTGGCCACTGAAATAAATCAATAGTCATGTGCTATCTTGTTTAAGCACCCCAAAACCTTTAAGAGGTGGATGAAATCATTCTCCATATTTGACAGAACATCTGAGACTCTTTTAAGTTTCATATTCAGAAAAGAGAAAATTATCTGCAAGTAAACTATCATTCTAGAATTTGTATCATCCTTTAGACAATAGTATATTCAACAGATAACCTCCATTATTGTATGATTACAATAAACTCACCTCTTGGGGTCTTGTGTCCTGATTGAGGGATTCACAGGTCTGACTTTGACTGTTAGAAGAAGGAGAGCTTCTCTTAGCTGCAAACATGAAAAAATTCCATTCCAAATATTATAATGAGTTGCTTTTGTTGCACAAATCTGTATCACTTTTACATAAACTCTTACCTTGAAATAATATACTTAATATCACATAAGAGAAATCAGATAGTTAAAAACTTTCAATTTTCCACATTATCAAAGTAGACCTTTTTTTCAATATGACATAAGTTAAAATACTAGAAAATTGATAAAAAGTATATTATTCATGATAGTTTTATCATTATATTCTTAGTTATTTTAAGTAAATCTAGTCTTAATTCTACAAAAGTGAAGTCTTACATGCAACCATAGAAGGTTTATATTGCATTTAAATTATTTGCCCCCTGGAATAACTGAGTGATTAAGTATTGTGTCCAATTATTCTGTATACACATTTTAAGACCCTTTTTAGTACCTATGGCAAAAATTCTTAAAAACAAAAATGCTAATTAAAGAATAAAATATTTATTTATTTTTTCAAAAGAACTGATGACACACAAAAAAATGATTGGCATCAATATAGTACCTAATACCTGACCAAATTCTGGTATAAATATTTTATATATAACAACTTAGTTAACCCTTACAACAATCTCATAACAGTATATTATTAGGGCTATTTTACAGATAAAAATAAAGGCATTGATTTGTTTTTGGTTTTTTTTTCTGTTTTGAGGCCATACCTGGTGGTACTCAGGGCTTACTTCTGGTTCTGCGCTCAGAAGGTACTCCTGATGGGGCTCAGAGGAACAGAAGTGGTGTTGGGAATCAACCCCCATTCAGCTTTGTGTAAGACAAGTGCCCCTGCAAGCTGCATGATCGTTCTGGCTCCAGATATTTTAATATTTTAATTTGCTCAAGGTCACTTGACCCTTCCATGAATATTCCAGCTTGGATAACCTGGTTCCAGGGTCTGTGCTTTAATATCATCCTAAACTACTCAGGAGAAGCTGCCTCTACCATGATCACTGCCAAATGGTGAAAGCTATTTCACTTTCCATCTTTTGCTTCAAGAAAGCTAGCTTGCCCATCTGAATTCATTTGGTTGGCAAAAATAGGTACTCGTGTAGGTGAAAAGTGAAGTATACCTGGATAAATAAAGTTAAAGTTGAAGACCCATTTTATAGATGTGTAACTAAGCCCCCAGAAGTTTAAAATGGTTTATCTAGTAATACAACATAAGACATGTATCACTGGTTTGGAGTTTCTTTTCATGTGAATAAGCTCTGTATCAAGAATACCTAGGTAACTCCTTGAATAAATGTTCTTTCTTTTTTCTCCTTATGAAAAAATTATCCCACAACCCTCACTCCTGCATGTGAGGGAGTTGGCTAAAAACATCCCATTGTGTCCAAATGACTAACCTGTAATGATATTCCTGATGGGCTTCACCAGTGCTGTGAAGCCAGAGACTTCGGGCTGTCTGTGCTCCCACATGGGTTGCCATATTACAAGCCCACTGGCTAGCCGAAATGTGAGATCAGACTCCTACAGAAAGAAATGACATACACCTAGTAGTTGATGTCTAAGAACCGGTTAAAAGGGAAAGGTCACGGCGAGAATTAATAACACTGACAAGATTATTTCAAAGTGGACTGCTTTCTTGCATACCTTCTTTCATCACTCAAATTCATTTTTCTAGAACAAACCAATAAACCAATGTTTCTAGGACCAGAATTACTATGGAACTCATGGTGGTCTGCTTTAAGCAAAATAATCAATTAAAATGCAATTTCAGGTAAAGCATGAAACACACAATTACCATTTTGTGATAGCAGTGATCAATTTTTTTTCATTTCAAGGGATTTGTGGTTATTATTATCCCTTTTTTTAGGGGGGGGGAATTCGAAGGGGGTCACACCCGGTGATGCACAGGGGTTACTCCTGGTTCATGCACTCAGAATTACTCCTGGCGGTACTTGGGGGACCATATGGGATGATGGGGATTGAACCCAGGTCGGCTGCATGCAAGGCAAACACTCTACCCGCTACTCCTGTTCCAGTCCCATTATTATCTCTTTTATTTGATTAATTGCATAATCATTTTTTCTCTCTTAATGCAGTATCCTCAAATAAAAACTGCTTTAATTTTCTATTCGTCAGTCCACCTCTTGTCCTTGCTTTTCAAGGAATCATGAGCATATATTTTGGATTTTGTAAAGTATCATTTTATAGTTGCCTTCTTTTTTTTTGAGTTTACTTTTATTTTTCTTCTACCCACCTCTTCATGTATTTCTTATTGATTTTTAAGTTTTTTCTCAAATGCCTTTTTTATATATTTTTCTCAGATCCTATAGTCTTTTATTTATTTATTTATTTACTTTATTTTATTTTATTGAATCACCATGAGATAGTTACAAGCTAGTTACATGAAGTTTGAAGTTTGGGTTACAATCACACAATGATCAAACACCCATCTCTCCACCAGTGCACATTCCCTACCACCAATATTCCCTTTTTTAACAATGTTTAGTTCCTTGAAAGCAAAGACATGTTAGGCGACCTGCCTCCTTGCAGCTGCTGGAATCATCACATACTTAATACAGCATAAGGGGTTGGGAGCAGAAGAGGTATTCAATAAATACTTGTAGAATTGAGCTGGCTTTATCAACCACAACCATTCAATTAATCTATAATTTAAGTTTCTTCCGGGGAGCTCATTCTCTGCTTTATTTTCATATAATTTTTACAAAACATATATGTTTAAAACTTAACAATGTGTTATGTAATACAAGTATAGGACATTGTAAGATTACATTTTAATGTTTTTTGTTATTGTTTTAGAGCACACCTTGTGATGCTCTTGGTTACTCCTGGCTCTGCACTCAGGAATTATTCTTGGGGGACCATATGCAATGTCATGGATTGAACCCAGTCTGCTGCTTGCAAGGCAAATTTTCTATCCTCTGTATTATTGCTCTAGCCCTGTGACATTACACTTTAAATATGTCTTGCTTCTGAGTGATTAAGATGGGCAAGATGAAGGAGAAAAATGGGGGATATAAAGTTTGAAGTGTCACTATACCTTAAGATAGATTAATAAACTGACAGACAGGACTAAAGTCAAGGAGAGAGTATCCAATAACTAGATAATCTTAGCATTTGAAGGTCAAGGGTTTGTCCGCAATTAATAGTGTCTGTTCCCTTGTTTTGTTACTCTACATGACACACATCAGTGAGGTCATCTAGTATCCACCTAGATTATCATTCAGATAAGAAGGAATAACTCAGAGATAACCCTTGACATTCTTATAGGCTCAGCTCCACAGCTTTTGAACCTTTGACAATTTGAGGCCTTTTTGGAATGGTGGCAAGTAGCTGCCCCACCCCTTCCAGTAGGATCAGCAAGCTTTATACTTATCTGTCGTAACAATGGATCCAGTGCCATATCTCCTGACTGCTCATCATCAAATTCACTCTGTTCACAGTAATATATCCTATCACTGGGTAAAGATGGGCAGGGAAGAAAAAGAGCGATTCTCAGCCTCATTCCTCAGAGAGTCTCAGGAGGAAAATTACAAATATTTATCTTCAACACAGCAAGATGAGAGCAAAAACAGTGTGGAAGACACTTGTGAAGCTCACCAACCTCAATGAGCAAACAATAACACAGAAGATTCAACCAGCTCAGTAGATCCTCAGACAATGACTTTATTGACACTATTTTAAAGATGTTTAATAAGCTCAAAGAAATGATAGGTAGTCAGCAAAGCACAGGAAAGTATGAGTGCTTTTGAAAAAATGAGAAGTATGGTAAGTGATATTATGAAAAAGTTCTGACAAGCAGATTAACAACAACTGAGGAAAAGAGCAAAGTACTCTAGATGAGACAGAGGAAATCAGTAGATAACAACAGAGGAGAAAAATAGTTGATAAAGAATTAAACAGCTTGCCACAAAAACCACTGGATGAGTTCAAAAGGAAAACATAATACTCATCAGAGTTCTTGAAGAAGAGGAAGCCAAATTTAATGAAGAAATAATAGATAAGAATTTATGGAATTTATGGAAGAACTTTGGAATAAGAATTCCAAAGTTAAGGAATACAGCCACCCAGACCCATGAGGCCCAAAGGATTGCAATAAAAATAAATTCAAATAGGAAAACTCAAAGGCATTACTGCACTTAAAATGACAGAATTTGAAGACAGAGACCCAATATTGAAAGCAGCAAGATCCAAGAAAGAACTACATATGGAGGAAAGCCAAAAAAAAATCATAGCAGATCTATCAAATGAGACTCTGAACCAGAAGAGAATAGAGGGATGGATGTAGTACAAAACTGAATAAGCTGAAGACATTACTAAGAATACCCTCTCCACCTAGATTATCATTCAGATATGAAGACACAATTCAGAGCTTCAGGGCCAGGCAACTACTGAGAAATCTATAACCTTGAAACTAGTCTTGCAATAAGCATTTAAGGAACTTTTCCCCACTTTTTTCCTTTTTGAATCACCATGAGATACAGTTACAAAGCTTTCATGATGAGTTTCAGTCATACAATGTTCCAACATCCATCCCTCCACCAGTGTACATTTTCCCCCACCAATATCCCACACACCCCTCCTGTTATCCCACACACACACACACACACACACACACATACACACACAGTCTGCCTCTATGATAGAATAGCAGGCACTTTTCTCTCTCTCTCTCTCTCTCTCTTTCTCTTTCTCTTTCTCTTTCTCTTTCTCTCCTAGTCTCTCTCTCTCTCTCTCTCTCTCTCTCTCTCTCTCTCTCTCTCTCCTTTTATGCATTATGGTTTTCAATACAGATACTGAGAGGCCATCATGTTTGGTCCTTTATCCACTTTCAGCACACATCTCCCATTCTGAGTGGTCCTATCCAACCATTATTGTCATAATGATCGCATCTCTATCCTGACTGCCCTCTGCACCAGCCCTTGAGGCAGGCTTCCAACCATTGTCCATTTGTCTTGAACTAAAGGAACTTTTTTAAGAGGCAAGACTCAGCACTTGGCATCGAGTATAACATTCACTCATTATGCTTACGGTTGCTTTCCACTAGAGTAAGAAAAGTTTGCTTATTCCTATTTTGTATATAAAATCCATTTGCAATAACAAATTAACATTTTGTTTATTGTATAAACTCTTTAGGGGTGGCCGGGAAGGCCCCGATGGCTCTTACCCTAGCCACCCGCATTCAGGAGGGCCCAAGCCGCTCGCCCAGCCAGTGTAGCCTGGGCCATGGGGCAGACGGAGGAGGAAACAAGGGCAAAGCTGGTTGATTGATCAGATGCTATTCATTCCATTCTCCCCACGGACCTACCCCAGTCTCTTTGAGCCCCCCATTCTAGTCTCACACTTCCCTCATTCCTGTCTCCTCTTGTCTCTCCCACTCATCTTTCCATGTTCCATCTCGCATCCTGGGCTCTCTCTTTCCACATGCCCGCTCCTCTTTCTTCTACATTCTTCTCCCTCTGTCCCCCTTGCTAGTCTCTGGGCACTCCATCTTGCTGCCCTGCCTCTCTCTCATCTCTCCAGCTCTCTCCTTCTCTCCAGCTCTCTTGTCACTTCAATTCCCCAAGCACTCTGGGCTGACACTGCATCCAGTGCAGTAGCAAAATAAACATAAAAAAAGCCCTTCCTGACTGCTTATCAGGCTCAAAGGCAGAAATACCACCTAGGGGTTATTTCAAAGTCCTTCCTGACTGCCCAAGGGCAAAATAACTCCTAAGGTGTTTTTCTCCTTTCCTCAGTCCAATAACTCTATCAACATCTTAATACTAGTTATTTTTGTATGGACACAGTAAGAGATACAATGAGGCATGTAGGGCAGCTCTCCTGGGAACATCTTGCCACAGACTCAGATTACAGAGCTCAGGCCAGATTAATCATTCCTAACCCTAGCAGGGACTAAATCTAGTTATTACTTTTTGGATCATGACAGCATTTGTCCATGACCAAGCTCTTATCGTTAAGTATTATGGCTCTTTGGCCAGGACCATCTTGATGCCAGGGTAGCACATAGCTTACTGCTTGCCCTGGTTCCATCCAGTCCCTCATTGGGACCTTGCTTTGGGGGGTGGGGGCCTCAGGAAGTAAGGGCAGCTGAAGCTAGGTCAAGAGAACAGCTGCCGAAAGTAGACTATAGATCAAACATGATTGCCACTCGATGCCTCCTTTGCAAACCACAACACCCAAAAGGAGAGAGAGAGAACAAAAGGGAATGCCCTGCCACAGAGGCAGGGTGGGATGGGAGGCATGGGGGTGGGAGGGATACTGGGACCCGTGTTGGTGGAAAATGGGCACTGGTGGAGGAAAGGGTACTTGATCATTGTTTAACTGAAACCCAAGTTTAAAAATTTATAAGTCTACAATTGTACCTCATGGCGTTTCACTAATAAAAATTTAAAAAATAAAATAAATAAATAAATAAATATAAAAGAGACCAGCTGCCCAGGAGGAAAATATCACTGAGAGTCATGTCACAAAACAATAGCATATATTGTCTTCTTGTGTCCATACAAAAAGGACACTTCTCTGAATAAACTATGCAAAGGACTTACAGAGAAGAGAAAAACAGTGTTTACAAGTCAACAGAGCACAAAAAAATAAGTTACAAATAAACACAGAGGAATGGGAGCACTGTGATGGGAGCAACCCAATAAACCTAAACTACCTGAGGCTATGCAAGAAGGACAAAAATAATGTTATCCTACAATTTATATTGAATGTTATATATCTGATCAAATGTTTTTATTTTACAAAGACATTTTCATAGACATTTTACTAAATTGCTTTTCTTATTAATGCAGATACTAAGCAGTATCTACAAAATATTTTCTAGTGTAAAACCAACATTCCCTTAGAATAACACACACTTTTATACTTCTATAGGCATATTCAGATTCTCCCCTTAAATTTTCCTTAATTATCTTCAATTTTATTAATCTTACATTTGTTGAATTTATCTTTCATGCAAACAAGTAAATCTCAAAATTTATTAGCACAGAATTACTCATAATATTTTTAAAATTTATAACCCATAATATATAGCTTTTGAAAAGTGGTTTTTTACTTTATCAATTTATTGATTTACTATTCTGTAGAATTCTAGGAGTTTAGCTCCATTCACCTATGTGTATGTAAGTGTCATCACCTCCACAAAAATAAATAAATAAATAAAAGGACCTATCCCAAATATGAGATTAAAAATGAAATATAGTAAGGAAACGGCAAATGGTCAAAGTCATCAGAATTGAAACTTTTGTCAGTAGAACTGAGCCTATGTGGTAGGCACTGAGAAGGGCGTACTTGACAATGGGGGAGGGAAGTGGGATCTCCGATATTGAGTATAGTGTCTGAGTGGTGTATAAATGAAAAGTATGTGTACTAACATTGCAAATCCCAGTACCTAATAAAAGTGGTTTAAAAATAAAAATAAAATAAATCTTAATTAAATACCTACCAAATACTGCCACTATGTTAGTTACCTAAACCATGATGATAATTTCTATGTTTAAAACAAACAGAATCTGGTGGTAGGTATAAACATACAATGACATGATAAATTTGTTATTAAAATAGTATAAAATATGACTATCATGCCCTAGAAATAGAGGTCGAAGGAGAATGAAACTTGAATAAAGTCAGAAAGAATAAGTAGGGGCTGGAGCAATAACACAGAGGGTAGGGCATTTGCCTTGCACACGGCTGACCTGGGTTCGATTCCCAGCATTCCATATGGTCCCTATGAGCACTTCCAGGAGTAATTCCTGAGTGAAGAGCCAGGAGTAACCCTTGAGCATCACTGGGTGTGACCCAAAAAGCAAAAGCAAAAAAAAGACAATACAAAATTTCTAGGTAGAAGGGTAGGTGTGACGCATCTTAAGTAGGGAAGAAGTTGTAGCAAATTTGAGAAATGGGAGACAAAATGAAGATTGTTTGATTAGTAAATGTTCAGGGATGAAGAATCTAATGAAAGAATGCATACTTTTCAACTTTATGTGAATGGTTTTATTATATGAGATATAAAATATGGGGACAAGGATCCATTCCAGGGACCATTTGAAATGCTAATGGATCACCATTTAGGTGCAGGTAGGAAGGTAATATGGTTTTAAATCCAGAAGAGGGAATAAGTTCATTATCATTAGTTTGCAACACTGTATATGTTGTATGTTCTCCTTTTCAAATATGTATCACAACACAACCCCTACCACCAGGATTCTAATTTTAAGATAGAATTAGCCTATCTAGCCTATAAGACACAAAAGGCAAACAAATGTACACTAGCCTATAAGACTCAAATGGTAAACAAATGAAAGAGAGTCTTCCAAAGAGAAGACAAAGTGAAAAAAGCAGAATGTCCAGGATGCAACTGTGAAGAACTGAAATATTCAAGCAGTCAGGAAACCAACTCATGGAAGAGAAAGAAGTCACAGAGGATGCAAAGAGGGTGGCAGCATGTGTTGTCACCAAAAGGATCATAAAATGTCAAGAAGAATTTGGGGTAGTTTCAAATGCATCATGGGCATAGTGAAATGCGGACTGAAAAATAAAAGGTTCCACAGCTCAGAGATTATTCATAACCTTAGTGAAAACAGTTCCAGAAATGGGGAAATTAGTTTTGAAGGAAGCAGATGGAATTTAATTTGAATCATGCCACAATTATGTATGAGTTTATTTCCTCTCTAGTTCTCAATTCCTCTTGGGAAAAAAATAAAGACAAAGATACCCTCTCCCTGCTTGTGGCAGCACAGATTAGAAATGTTATGTGAAAACTCCAATAGAGAAGAGCAGTACAAATGTAAAAAGATGAGGAGGATGAATAGAAGCATGTGACCATACATGTACTGGGTTTCAGCCTCCCATGCCTTTAGCAGTATCCACATCTGAGCCTTAACATAAAACGCTGACTGTGTGACCACTAAGTATGAGCTCCAGTGAGTAAAGTCAAGCAAAGACTGACATGTGAGACAACATGACTCTATTTTTGTTGACACACCAGTCTGGACATTCTGCGTTTTTTTTTTTTTTTCAGAGAGAGGGACTGAACCCAGGTCTCTCACATATGAGTATTGTCACTGAGCTCTATTCCTAGCACGAATACACTGGATGGTTGTGTGCAACCTTCCAAGGAACATGTATATCTCCTGGGGTAGGAAAAGTTGTCTTGATCTGGAGTTGGAGATTTAAAGGAGAAATGCAAAGAAGCAATAAGGAGAAAAGCACATTTACCAGTACTACTGCAGAGATGCGTTTTTCATGACTACAGTACAGAAAAGGAAGCTACAGTTAAACAGGATCTGACAGTCACCAGGCAATTGGAAAATCAAGGGCAGTGGTCCTCAATATGGGGGGAGGGGGAGGTGAACATCTTCTCTCTACCTGCACTGCACTGCACTGTCCTCCCATTGTTCATTGATTTGCTCGAGCGGGCCCAGCAATGTCTCCATTGTGATACTTGTTGTTACTGTGTTTTGGCACATCCACTGGCTATGTCACAGGGAGCTTGCCAGGCTTTGAAGTGCGGGCAAGATAGCACAGCGGGTAGGACATTTGTCTTGCACGTGGCCTACATGGCCGACCCAAGTTTGATTCCTCCGCCCCTCTCAGAGAGCCCAGCAAGCTACTGAGAATATCTCGCTTGCACAAATGCCAAACACAGTAACAATTCTCTCTACCTATTGAGGAAATTTGACAAGCTCTGTAGTCATTTGTTGTTGATAGAGTCAGATGTTATTGAGATTTAGTAGATAGAAAAAGATATTACTAACATCTTACAACATACAACTCACCACCCAGTAACAAAGGCCAACAGGGTCAAGGGTGAGAAATACTAATCTCTGGGTTTTATTCTCTCTCTCTCTCTCTCTCTCTCTCTCTCTCTCTCTCTCTCTCTCTCTCTCTCTCTCTTTCTATCTCCTTTCTCTCTCTCCATATATATTTTTTCAATTTACTGAAGATGATAATTTTAAGTCTTTAACTTATGAAAATATTTCTTGATGGTATTATTGGGAGTATAAACAGTGTTGATTTGATTGAACATTGATGGTTCAAAAGAGGAGTTTAAACCGCCAGTGGTACTTACCATGATATGTTATTCTTGGTATATTAGGCAGCGTCTTGGGGCAGACTTAAAACTATTGAAGTTTTTACATAGCTAAATTAAATGTACGGTGGAGCATCTTAGTTAAAATGTGTGGAAAATATGAGAGAAGAAGAGCAAGGTGTTTGCCTTGCATGCAGTCACCTTGGGTTCAATTCCCAGTACACCATATGACCCACTGAGCTCTCCAGGAGTGACTCCTGAGTACAGAGTCAGGAGTAACCCCTGAGTATTGCTGGGAGTGACCCCAAAACAAACAAAACAAAGTGTGAAAAATGAGTGTAGAAATAAAGCTGTTTACATCTTGGTTTGCAATCATAGCTGAGAAAACACGACAACCAACCATGGGAAAGCACTTGAGGCTTCCCACCCTCATCTCACTTCTATCCCACCTCAGCCTAACACTAGGTTTCTGCTTACCTTGATTCTGTGCACCAGAGGAGCAAACAGAAACACAAAGAGCTCCACAGTAGCCATTGAGTTCTGGAAGATTTTTCTTCGGCTGTTTTCTTCTTCATCGTTGGAGCTGCTTTGGCAAGGCTGCACGGGAGAACCCTGGTTTTCAACCTGATGGATGAAAGCACTACTGCTGCCACCCCAGCTCGAGCCTCGGTCTGTGCCCCCAAACCGCTCACTGTTGCAGTCTTGAGGGGCTTCTAAGAGCATCCAGTGGAGGGTGTGAAGGAGCTTTGTTTCAGCGACACCTAATTTATCCTGGTGGCCTGCAGGGGACAATCACACAGCCAAGTTAGAACAAACTCTGTGACCAGAACAATGGATATTAACATTCAATCTTGGATGAACACCTAGTTTTGGTCTGAGATTTTTTTTTTTTACTGGAAGAAAAAAGCATTTTTCTCTTTGTTTTATGACTGCAAAAGAGGTTCATTCATGTTTGGGGTCTCTTTATAACTGGCTGCAGCTCCTACAGAATATCCTGCTGTAATAGGATAACTTATATGTGTCATATGTTTTAAGTCAGATATCAACATATATTTGCGATTAGGCAACATAGTGATTAAGGTATATTCTCAGATGAGGACTACTCTGATTTAGAGCCATCAGAAAAATCTTCTTGGTATCACATCATTTGAGCAGAGACCCAAATGACTGGGACAGAGGAGAGAGGGGGCAACCAAATGAAGGAGTGCATGTTCACTAAAATGGAGTAGATGGCTAGGTCATTTTGATATGTGATGAAAGCAACCTGAAAAATAACCTAAAAAAGAAAGAGTCCATGTATATGCAAGACATATCATACAATAAAGTGAAAGTGAATGCTTTAGAAATTGGGAGGGCAAAGGAGAAACATTTAACTATGTTCAGCTTGTCTATGCTACTTTAATGTTCAAAAGGAGAATATATTCACACATACTTGGAAAATTTAATATTTTAAATGAGAGCGGTAACTCAAGGATAAAATAAAGATAATAGTAGCACCATCTCACATGGTGTTCTGAGAGCATTGAAAGAAAAAAGGGGTTCTGTGAGCATTAAAAGAAAATGAGTGCACAGTGCCTGGGAAACAGTAATTATCCAATAGATGTTGTTATTATGAATGCTGAACACAAAGGACAATTGTTTTTACTGAAGAAAGAATGCAGAAGCACTAACCTAGCTTGTTTCTGTTTGAAAGCAGAGTTGCAGTGCAGTGCAGGACGTGAGGCAAAGCAGCTTGCACCAGCTCCCATCTGGAAATGCTCTGGATGGCTTCAGAGAGGGCTGGAGAGAGGCCATGAAGCTTGTTTTCTACCAATACACGTTCAAAAGACTGTAGACAACAGAAGGAAAAATAACATAAGGAACTGAAGATTCAGATTTGCAGGAAAAATGGACATATAAGGCACTTAAAAACACAAACTACTGGGTCATTCTTTATATAGTGCTCTTATATTACCTTTTATTTTATATGTTGACAAACAATAAGTCAATGATAATTTTCTATTATCTAGCCATTTTTATATTTTAATCTAAAGTATAGGGTATAAAGGTACACACAATTTTTATTTCCTCTAGAATAAACCTCAAAGGACAAAAACTTTAATTCATGAAATTCTAAGAATTGTTTTATAAAATGCTGCTGACTCATTCAGTGGGATGCTTACAGTTACAGACGGAAGTAAAATCTTTTATGAAAGTCTCTTGAGGAATGAAATTTATATCAGTGTTCAACATGTGTCAAAAAAGACATTATTCTTTCAAGAAATATGACTTTGGAGTCTTCAAGTTATTTCATATGACTTGGTATAAGACATTTCTTACCTATTGCATGAAACCATAAAAATACCTTGTAAATATGCTTAATAAAGAAAAATAAATATAAAAGAAGAGAAGGCAATACTCCATTATTTTGTTTTCTTTTTCTAAATATTCTGATCTAGCCAGAGATACTTTCCATAAGTGATGCAAGCCAAAACAAGTTTAGCTACTCAGTTCTCTCCTCTCTCTTTTTTTTCTTTTTTAAAAATGGAATCACTGTGAGATACACAGTTACAAAGCTGTTCAGAGTTGGGTTTTAGTCATACAGTGTTCCAACACCCGTCCCTCCACCTGTGTACTTTTCCCACCACCAATGTCTCCCGTTTCCACCCCGCCCCCCCCCCCCACACACACACAAACAAAGCCTGGCTCTATTGCAGGCACTTTCCTTCTCTCTCCCTCTGTCTGTCTGTCTGTCTGTCTGTCTGTCTCTATCTCTGTGTCTTTGTATTTGTCAATCAGTCAGTCAGTCTGTCTCTCTGTCTCTGTCTCTGTCTCTGTCTCTTGCTCTCTCTCTTTCTCTCTGTCTCTCTCTCTCTCCTTCTGGGCATTATGATTTGTAATATAGATACTGAGAGGTTATCCTGTTTATTCCTTTACCTATTTTTAGCCATAATTTATCAAGAGTGATCATTTCCCACTGTCATGGTCATAGTGGTCCTTTCTCTAACCCAACTGCCTTTTTTCTCAGCACTTGAGGTAGGATTCCAACCATGGACCAATCCTCTTGGTCCTTGTTTCTACTGTTCTTGGGTATTAGTCTCATACTTTCAGGGATCATTTCTATAATTTCTTTCTCTCTTTTTTGATGGCAGGAAAGATGTATAAAGCTATATCTTTGGAAAGCATAGCTACAAATAAAATACTAGAATATATTTTATAAACATTTAACTTGTATGAATAGAAGTTAAATTTGCCATATGATACCTATAGTGAGCAAGAAAATTTTGATGGTGATACCAGTCAACAGTGCTCAAGCTGTATTTTGGTATTATTGGAATTTAAAATAATATAAGTTAGAATCTCCAGGCCACGCTTGCCTGTACTTACCGAGGCCCCTTGAAGGGGGACAGTTTGAGTTGCCCTCCCCACACGAGCAGAGCCCCAGCATCTGAAGACCTCTGAAATCCAGCCACAGCCATGCTTAAGACCACTCTCCACATGCTTGGAGGAGCCTAATGCATGAAGGAACCAGCAGAAAAACCCAGGTATGTGGGACCCAGGGTTGAGATCTCCAAGCCTGCTCAGAGCGGGTCTGGGTGTCCTCCACCCAGATCCCCCATCTTCCAGTAGCTAAACAGTTGTACCCACCAACTGCCCCTCCATGGCACCGTATAATCCCATCAATGGCCAAGACCAAAGACTATAAAAACAAGATCTTATTGTGTAGTTATCACTCTCAGAGAACCCGGCAGGCTACTGAGAGTATCCTGCCCACATGGCAGAGTCTGGCAAGCTCCCTGCGACATATTCGATATGCCAAAACCCAGTAACAATGATAAGTCTCATTCTCCTGACCCTGAAAGAGCCTCCAATGTGGCACTTTCTAAAATCTCAGGGCTAGGACGAAGGAGACGTTACTGGTGCCTGCTAGAGGAAATCGATGAACAACAGGATGGCAGTGATACAGTGATAAGTTAGAACAAAGATTTTCTAAAGGAAATAATTACTTGTTGATTCAAAAAAAGAAAATAATTCACTTTAATGATGAAAGGCATGCTGAGATTTTGGTAAAGAGTATAATCATAAAGAATTTTTTTAAACAAAATAAAGGCAGATATAAATACTTTAAAATTACTTAGCACTTGGAGCTCCAAGAATTCATTAAAGAGTAAACAAGTTTGAATTGGCAGATTATAAATTGTCTTGTCTTGGGACAAGAACAATAGTATAGCAGGTAGGATGTTGCCTTGATGTGGTCCACCTGACTTCAATTCCCAGAACTTCATCATGGTCTCCTGAGCACCACTGGAAGTGGATCCTGAGATCAGAGCCAGGAGTAAGTGCTATGCACTGCCAAGTACGACCTCAAAGCCAAGTATGAATGCATTTAAGAAAATGATATATATTTTTTCTCACCTAGTGAACCAAGTAATGTCATGTCTTGTTTGTGGGGGCAGCTGTTTTACATTTGTTTACTTTGAAGCTACACTTTTTGGTGCCCATGGATTACTATGGGCTTTGTGCTCAGGGAACACTCTTGGAGGTACTTACAGGGCCATATGTAGAGCTGGGACTCAAACCCAGGTTGGGCTGCATGCAAGGCAAGCAACTTACCCACTATATTATCTCTCTAGCCAATGCCATTTCTTCTTATGTGCTACTAATATAAATTTTTGTAGTTATAAAAAATACAAAAATTATACCCTGGAAATAGGTTCTAATTTTTTTCTAGATAGACAGCTAGCTATGAATGCAATGTAGTTTTTTTGATAGTGTGACTACATTCAAAAAATGTCAGACATATCTTTGCCAAGAACAGAGAAAATTCTGTTAGGTTTCTTTTAGACTAGTGTAATTATAGGCACGGCAGATAAGAAAGACTTAGAGATGCTCCATGTTAAATTACTCTAACTTGAGCTAAACACAACAAATTCCACTAAAAAAGTTTATATCAGATAGAGATTTCTAAAATATCTTTTCATAATCTTGAAGGACAGAAGATACTGAAAACAAATTTCAGGGAGAAAGAGAGAGTCACTGACAAACATCTAAGGTAATATAGAAATAAGTAGTCATCCACTTTAAGGTTATAACATTCAAAGAGCTTTATGTGAATTCCAAGTATGAACAAAGTCTTTAAAAATCCCATTTTGATATTTTTATGATTTCATATTTTCTGTTATTAATTTGTTATTAGTTATTATTAATAACAACTTGTAATTATTAATTTGTAAAATAAGAATCTGTAGTGATATGGGGCTCCTATTGAATATATAGATAATAAAGTCTATTTTGTATGTATCAAAGTCAGTAGTTTCATGATTATTTTGTATCACTTTCAGACTTGCATTCACGGAATCTACCTTATGAACTCCCAATAAGCAGCAGTGCTGATTTTTTGATTAGTGATTTTACTTGTTATACTCATCCTGCAAGTCCCCCCACCAGCAGGTTCTCTGTTACCTCTCTACCCTCTCCACTTTGCTATCTCTCCCCAATCTGAGTGGAAGTTCTTTAGATTTGCTGTTCATTCTGCTTTCCCTCCACAGTTCCACTTTCTGTTCAAGTTTCCACCAAGGGTCACATTAGTAATCAAATCCTATCACACCCATTACTTTGAAAATGATCCTCTGTCCCCCCTAGAGCTCCTTCATCTCCTTTCTTGCTTAATTTTCTTCATTTTAAGAAATCACTTTTGGCTTGCTGAGCATTTTATTTATATGTTGCCAGTCCTCCTCCTAAAGACTGCAAACTCTTTAACAACTTCCCGTCATATACAACATTGCTCTGGGTTGTGGGCAGCAGGTACAATCCAGAGGGGTGAGGAGAAGCCTTGGTTGCATTTAGGGGTGCTTCCTGATTTTCTGGTTTTTTTTTCACTGGAAGAAAGATTTCCTAGTGGACACATTTTTTTCCAAAAAAGACACAGCACAACAAATAAACTTGGGAACCTCTATACTATAACATTTTATTGTGATTATTACTTTATCCTATCATCTAGAACTGTGCTTGAAACATAGTCTCTTAATGATATGTGTCTAGTGACGTGATAGATGTAGTTAGTATGATTTAATGACTTTCTTGGGGTTCAACGAAATTGAATTACCACACTAGATATGGAAGGAATGATTAAATGATGAAAATCACATACCACACAAGAGGCTTCATATTGCTTCCCAAGTTTAGGCCTCAAAAATGCACTGAAATGGAAAAGGGATATTCGTTTTAAACATAGATAGACGAATCATTAGAACATCCATAAGACATATTATTTTTCAATTTCAACTCAAATTGCATGCCTCCCTAGAGCTTGTTTACCAGCTGCTGCTGATCAGCTGATGAAATTTGCTTTTACATTTGCTCGTTGGTACATATATGAGAGAAATGTGTTTCTATACCATATTTCTACATCCACTCTTATTCTGAAGACTTTTTTCTTAATCAGATTCCAAATCACCAACCCTCAAAAGTGGTGCATTACTCAAGTGTACGATCATATTAAAAACTAAAATCAAAACAAACAAACAAACAAAAAACACCAAACATAGCTCACGGGTCATGATTTCCATAATCTAAATTCTTTTCTGATAATTTTCTAAAACGTCGAAGAGAGGAGTAACAGTAAAAATGACTATTAATAATAATGGAGATTTTGTTTTCCGTTTATTGAAACAGGTTTCAGACCTTTGAAGGGGGTGAGGGGGGGAAATCTCATCCCAAATCATTCTCTTCATTGGCTTTAACCAGGAAGAGTGCATTGCCTGAGCAAAAATGGTTAACAAGTGGGAATAGCAGCTATTTGCCAAACCAGAGCTGGAAAAACAACAGGTCACCGGGGCTGGAATTACAGCAGGAGATTGGGGGGGGGGGGGGGGGATTGGACGCAGGAGCACAACCAGTCATAATTAGCTTCCCTGGTTCCCCGCCCCCTCTTCCCTGGGCTCTGCACTGCCACCCCTCAAATAATGTATACATTTAGTCGACAACTGCCAATCTGCTTGTCGTCAAACTTCACTGACATATTTTTTTTTTCCTTTGGGGCAATGCGTGTTTCTCCGTGGGTGCAGAGGGGTTGCTTCTCAGCCCCCAGAGAGAGGGAGCTTGCAGGCAGGCAGGCAGGCAGGCAGCGGCGCGGCCTCGGCGGCAAGCGGCACTTGGCCACGGCGTGGGTACCGGGGCGGTCCCCGGGAGCGCCCCCAACCCCGGGCGGCCCGCCGCGCGCCTCCTCCTTGCGCCCCTCACCTGGTTTGGCGCCACAGGAAGGTCTGGATGGGCAGCGGGATGCCGCGGCCGCTGTCCTGCTCCTGGCCTTCGGAGCTCTTCCTCTTCACCATGATGGTGGCTCCGGGCAGTTGGACCGCTGGCCCCGGCGCTGGCTCCTCGCTCGCCGCCGCCGCCGCCGCCGCCGCCGCCGCCTCCTCCCCGCGCCGCTCTCCCCAACTCTCATCCCCTCCTTCCCCGAGGCTCTCTCCGCCCCGATCCCCCTGCCCGCGCCCCTTCCCCCGCCCCTCCTCGCGCGTGGAACATGGCTGCGGGAGGAGGGGAGGGCTGGAGCCGCCGCCGAGCGAGGAGGGGGGCGCGGGCAGGAGCCGGCCGCCGCGCCGCCCCCGCGCCCTGCTTTCAGCACCACCCACTGTGGACAGCGGCCCGCGCCGCCCGGGGCGCCTCGCCCGCAGGCCCCCTCCGCGGCCACCCCTCCTCGAACCGCCGCCGCCGCCGCCCCCCGGGACTGGCCCCCGTCCGGCCTGCCAACCTCGAACTGTCACGGTCTGCGGAGGAGGAGCTCCCGGGAACCGCAGAGCAGTCACTAACCCTCCTGGCATCATTCGCACTTCCAAGCGAGGAGGTCGGGAGTCCACCCTCGGGTGGGGGTAGCAGAGAGGGCACCGGCAAACGGTTCCAAGTGCAAGCCAGGCAGAGAGCTGCAAAGTTCTCGCATGTGAAACTGCGAGAACCATTCGTGTGAAAATGGTAAATGCAAGAAACTGACCTTGCTTTTTTTCTAAAAAAATTTTTTTCATCCCTCCCCCCTCCACACACAACTGTCAGAGAAGAATTGTCCCCCCCCCCCCCCCCCCCCCAACTAACCAGGAGTGGGAATCTGCTAATTACAAGTTGAGGAAGGTCGTTTGAATGCGCTGGGAGGAAATGTTTATTATAGTCCATTAGTGCATTTGGGGGATCTTGTTCCTTCCCCTCAAGATCTGTCTGTTTCCCTTCAGTTGTCACTGTTAAATGCCTATATATAGTTGGGTGCCTCCCCAATGTCTTATCTAGTAGCAAAACAAATAGAGGGAGGGTTAAGTGAAGCAGTCTGTCACCAAAGGACTGGGAAATTTCAAGAATGTCAGAGGGCAGTTTCAAATGCATCTTAGATTGTGTGAAAAGGGGCTGTGTAATAAAAATGAAGTTCCACAGCTTATTATTCATGACCTTAGTGAGAAGAGTCCCAGCACAGAAAAGGAGAAATCGCATTGTCTTGTAGGAAGCTGATAGAATTTGGTTTGAACCCTGCCACCACTGCACATGAGCTTGTTTATTACCTCTCTAGAACTTTTGGGTAAAATATAGTTTAAAAAGTCTTCCGGCTTGTCTTTCTAAAGATTAGAAGTGATACGTCAAAACTATCACACAATAGGGAAAAGTAGCACAAGTGTAAGAAGATGAAGAGGAAATGGAAGGACACTGAAGTGGTGACTGGATTTCAGCCTCCCATGGTTCCAGTTTTCCAGTACCATGTCCTAGATGAGCCTCAGCATACAACACTGACTGTGGAAGCACTGAGTAGACTTGAATGAGTCAAGCAAGCTGACAAGTGCAGTGTCATACTGATGGATTGCAGACCCTAACTTGATCAATACTCCAGCCTTGATATTCTAGAAAAACCATGGGTGTGAATCCAACTTTCTCCAAACAAATGAACATATTCAGGAGAGTTTTTTGAACAAAATTACTGGTGTACCCATGAAATGGAGAATTAGACCCCAGGTCTTAGTCCCAACAGAGAAATATTTCATGCATGATTAATTTCATGTGTGAATATTCCATATCAAGACAACTATATGGCACATAGTGATATTTTTAGTCATAATAAATTTTTCATTTAATATCTTGAAGTCTTTTAAAATGAATCTTGAAATGAGGCAAGGCAGAGTCTTAACTACAGTGCATTTCATGCATATTTATTGAGTCCATTTTATGTGCCATATCCTATGCTTTGAACAGATTCCTGTTCATAAGGATTCAGGACTTCAAGGGAATATAGGTATATAAAGAAAAGAGTTATTTGGAAGACAGGATACAAATTTGCAAATTACAACCTAATAAAAAATAGAAGGAAAAGTAGATTCCCATTTCTGATATATATATATATACTCTTCTGAATTATTTAATGAATTTAGATACCGATGTGATATGATTTATATAAAGTTTCTTATAGCTTTAAATTTTTATTATTAAAACTTTATTTCTTAAAAAAGTTTTATATATACAGAGAAATTATAGAGTATAGAGACTTCTCATATATTCTCTCTCTTCCAGTTTAGTTACTACTACTATTAACAACTTGCATTGATGGGTGCCTTTGCTACTATTGATGAAATAATAGTAGATACATTATTATAAAATTTATACCTTATGTTAGTGTTCACTTTGCATTAGATTTTGGCAATGTCATGTATCCATTATTATATCATAAAGAAGTTTCATTTCCAAAAGACCTATGTACTATCTATCCATCTTTTTATCTCACTCTTTTATTTTTTGGTTTTTGGGTCACACAGGGCAATGCACAGGGGTTACTCCTGGATCATGCACTCAGGCATTACTCCTGGCTGTACTCAGGGGATCATATGGGATGCTGGCAATCGAACCTGGGTCAGCTGCATGCAAGGCAAATGCCCTACCCGCTGTGCTATAGCTCCAGCCCCTTATCTCAGTCTTTTTTTTTCTTTTTTTATTAGTGAAACACCATGAGGTACAGTTATAGGCTTACAAATTTTGTGCTTGGGTTTCAGTTATACAATGATCAAGTGCCCATCCCTCCACCAGTGCCCGTCATCCATCACCACGGGTCCCAGCATCCCCCCCCCCATCTCCCCCCCCCCCCTCCCATCCTGCCTCTGTGGCAGGGTATTTCCCTGTGTTCTCTCTCTCTTCTTTTGGGTACTGTGTTTTGCAAGAGAGGCATTGAGTGGCAATCATGTTTGGTCTATAGACTACTTTTAGCATGCTTCTCCCACCCTGGGAGGGTCCTCACAACACCCTTCATTTGGTGCTCTCTTCTCTATCTGAGCTTCCTTTTCACCTAGAACGTGTGGCTGGCCTTCCATTCATGGAGCAAAATTCCTGGTACTAATCTCAGCCATTCCTGGGTGTTAGTCTCCCTTTTTGTTGCTTTATGTTCCCCAGATGAATGCAATCTTTCTGTGTCTATCCCGCTCTTTCATTTTGCTTAACATGATACTTTCCATGTAGTACCACTTGTATGTAAATTTCATAACTTCATCTTTTCTAACAGCTACATAGTACTCCATTGTATAAATGTACCAAAGTTTCTTTAACCAGTCATCTGTCTTAACAACTAGTAATTTGTTTACTCTCTGAAATTTTTACTTTTTCTAGAATGTTATATAGCTGTTATCATAGAGGATGCTGATTTTCAGTCTTACTTTTTTTTAAGTAAAATAATTTTATTTAGAAAAATGTAAATATAGTTAGAAAGAGATAAAGAGACAGAAAGAGGGAGAAAGACAGAGAGACAAAGTACACACTGCAAGTTGTGATGTGGGTAATGGAGAATGCCTTGATCTGGCTTCTTTCACTTAGCACTATGCTTTAAATTTTCTGCCATGTATTTTTGTGGCTTCACAGCTCATATTTCTTTATGGACTAATATTTTATTATACACGTGTAATCACAACTATTTATACATGTATCTATTGAAGAATGTCTCAATTTTATTAAAGTTTTGCAATTGTAAGGATCATATAAGCATTTTGTTTTTAGGTTTTTGTAGATGTAAGTTTATAACTTAAATACCTAAAAGTGCAGCTGCTGAATTTTAAGACTATAATTAGCTTTAAAAGAAGTTACATGTCTCTCAAAGTGAATAAATAATAGAACTTTTAAAAAAAACAACTTAGGCATATTTTGGGCCATGATAAAGAATATTTGATTCTCGTTGGGGGTAGGGGGTATACCCAGCTTCAGAGTTTAGTTCTGGCTCTGGGGTCTGAAATCATTTCTGGTGGTTTGGGGAGGAAAAATCATGATGCTGAATATCAAAGCCTGGTCAGTCACATGCAAGCATCTTACCTGCTGAACTATCTATCAGTCTGGCCCTGAGAATAACTGAGAGACAGGACAATTATTAACAAAGATTTATTATATTATTATTATTATTATTATTATTTAGGTTTTTGACCCACACCCAGTGAGGACTCTGATCAGGGCTTACTCCTTGCTCTGCATTCAGGGATCACTCTCGGTAGGGCTCAGGGACTCACATAGGGTGCTAGAGATCAAACTTCGCAAGACAAGTGCTCTACTCCTGTACTTTATCTCTAGTCCCTAATTAATAAATTTTTGGAGGAGACTAGATCTCTACAGTTAGATTAACCACAGCTTTGTAAAGAAACCCAAGCACAAAAATGTGTTAAGTCTGCAACTGTACCTCATGATGTCTCACTATTAAAAATTTTTTAATAAAAAAATAAATACATAAATACATATAATAAAAGAAAGAATGGCAGAGATAAGTCAGCAAGAGAAAGAAAATGTGAATGATATCTGAGAGATTCAAGCTCGGAAGAAATTAGTAAACTAAATTTTGGAAGGCTATTTGATATGGGGAAAGAGTGTAACACAGTTATGAAATAATGTATGAATAATTATCTATCAAGCTCTTTCTAAGAATGTCAATGAATTAATCAAAAACCAAACTCTGCTACCAATATTTTTAACCTACCCAGTAGCTGATAATAAAAAAGAAATGGAAGTCTAGTTTCAAAGTTCTAGCCATGCTTTCTTAATATAATACTGAGTATTGTGCAGTTGAGAGGGTTTGGCAAAAGTACCCAGATTCCTGTAAGTGAAGCTGTTTAAGGACTATGAAAGAACTATTTTGTTGATGGCCAAAGATTAAGAGGTAATTGTCCTTTTCATTCCCAAATGCCCTAAAGGCAATGAGTCATCTGGGGAGTGGAAGAAATCTATAATAAGCATTTCCAAGATAAGGTTTTGTTTTTTTTAATTTTGTAGTGGAGAACCAGGACTACTAGGTTGATTACCAAGTTTATTTCCTAAATGCCCATTGAAAACTTCCAAATGAAAACTTCCAAATGCTTTTTGGGTGTTTCAAAAAAACCTTATTGTGCTCTGAATGCATTATTCTACACTGTCTTTTTCCCCACACATCTTCCCACAATTATGATGCAGATTTTTGTAGGGAGGTGAATAAATTAGTTAAGTTGGTCTGTTAAACCATCA